AGGAATGCGAGCGCTCCAGGAAATTCGTCGTCTACAGCGAACAGTGGATCTGCTGATACCTCGTGCACCATTTCAACGTTTGGTGCGGGAAATTGCAATGGATGTAGCGGAGAAACACCTGGATATTCGTTTCCAGTTCGCCGCAATAACAGCCCTTCAGGTACCACTCCTCTTACGGCAGACCTCATTTTTTCGTAGGGATATTTTGTTCAGCTGTAACCCATCACTGGAATCTTCAACTGTCTGTTTGGGGTAATTTTCCCCGTTGCTTTGCCCATTGATGTATCGCCTGGTACGTGAGCTTGCTGATGCTGGCGATCCTGACTTTGTTTCACTTTTTTTTTTGAAAAAATTACCAGTTTGGTTTTTTTTTCGCTAAAGCACTTGGCAAAAGTTAAGTCGTTTCGAGGTAGTGTATGTCGCATAGGCGGATCTAAGGCGGTCTCCTGGGGGGTGCAGGGGAGGGGAGGAGGCCTCCTGGGAGCGGCAAGCAGTACCGAACAGAGTTTTCTACAGTAAAACAGCTGCTACCTGAGCCCTTGAGGGGAAAGAAGGGGAGGGAAAGACGCTCGTTGGATCCGCTAATGGTATGTTGAGCATTATCACTTCATCGCACACATTTTCCTGTCTTACCGCACGATTTGGTCCCATGTCGACCGGGGGCATTTGTTTTTCCCATTGTCTTCGAATTGAAGTGCCCATTTTGATCTTTTTTTTTTTAATATCTCACTTTTTCAGGAAGCGGCAGAAGTTTACCTTACATGCCTATTTGAGGACACCAATCTGGCGGCGATTCACGGCAAACGTGTGACTATTTTCCCGAAAGATATCCAGTTCGTGCGCCGTCTTCGAGGAGAAATCGCCCGTTACGGCCGTTAAGCAGCTGCGTTTCGATCATCTGTCATTGTTACTAGCAATAACTGTAGTATTTTTTGCCGAGTTTCGTTTGATATTTGCAGCATTGGTACTCGGGCAAAGTTACCCGTAACTTTCCCCTACTTTATTTTACTATATTAGGGGAGAAATATTGCCGATTTGTACAGATGGTAAAGCCCGAATTGGTCAGACAAATGGCCGTCAAATGGGAAAGTGGCTAGCTGCAAAGGTGTTTTCTCAGGCAAAGTTACCCGTAATTTTCCCCTACTTTTATTT